GGAGGAGGTCCTATAAATGATTTCATTCACGGTCCTCAGCTCTCCCACCCCCCTGAAGGACCTGGTGGTCTTCTCTCCCAGGACAAGCCCCTCAGTCACAGCATGAATGATGCAGTAAGTAGAGGGAACTCACCGTAACAAACGGTTATGGCTCAGTTCAAGTTTGAGACTCTGCTTGTTCCGACATGTAGCTTTGCTGCTTCGTTACTGCTGAAGCTTTGTGTTGTTACCGAGTTAGAAGAAGAGAGTTCTCAGACGACGTGTGTCGAACTGAAACTGCAGATCTGTTGTGTGAACACGCACAGCTTGTGCCTCCAGCCAGCATGTGTGCTGAGTCACGCTCACATGCTTACATCACTATAAACTGTCGCAGCTGCACGTCTGCTGATCGCAGCTTCCATTAAGAAGTTCCATATTATTCACACTGCCCCCACCCCCTAACACACTCTCCTCTCTGTCTCACACCATAACCTTTTTCCCGCCCCCCTTTTTTTTCACTCTCTCGCTTTCTGTTTGCGTCTCGCACCTGCAGATGTCCCATTCAGATCAGTCCCATAACTCCATGCAGCAGAGCTTGCATGCGTCTCCGCACCCCGGCAGCCAATCGGGGCCGCCCTTGCATCACAGCGGCCAATCAGGGCAGCCCTTGCATCACAGCGGGCAGTCATCGCAGCCGCCTCGCCAGCCGCAGCCTCAGCCGCAGCCTCAGCCGCAGCATCCCGGGCAGAACAGTCACCCCCACAGCGATCTGAGCTTTAACCCCTCCTCGGACGGGCCGATGGGTCAGGGAGCCCAGGATATGCCCGAACCGTCCCTGGATGTAAGTGTGTCCGCTTCGGATGCTCTAAGCTACCTGTTAACTCGCTAACACTGTCTGCTGATGCTGCTCTCATCTCTCTGCTGTGTGCTCTGATTACTGTTGACATTTGCTTCTGAGGAGCTGTAGCACTTTGTGGTAGACAGACTGATCGGCTGGCCGATTCGTTACAACAATTATTGCCTTTTTTTTTATAATTCGTATGGAGCCCAGCTGAGCTTACTAAACTGATTAAAAGGCAGAGAAATTTGTGGGCAGAAAGTGTCAATATCTTCTTTTTCTCTTGTCAAAATGACAGTATATTTATATATTTATCAAAGAAAACAAGAAGATTTTATTTCTTATCTTTAGGAAACTTGAAATTCTAATTAGTACGATTGGATTTTGACAGAAAATATTGGTAACATTATGCTTGTAGTTAAAAAAAAATGAAAATCTAAATCAAAGACAATCACTATTTTATTTAAAGTATTTATACAGGGGAAGTCCAAAGGCACAGGACACCCTTTTCACAAACAAAAGGGAAAAAGACATACTGTCTCTGAAGAGAAACTTGATCCAATATGGTGGCTTTCAAGATGGCGCCATGTTCTGGACATAACCTAAAAGAGAGACCCCCTCCCCCTTTACTTGCTGGGGTATTCAGATATGTCAATTACTCCTTTCTTTCAGAAATGAAAGGTTGTCCTGTGACTTTTGAATCGCCCTGTATTATTAGGGCTGTCCAACTAAAGTACTCAGGAGGCCACAGTTACTGGGCGGTGTTGTTGCTAATTAATGGTAGGTGAAACACTGCAGTATGTAACAGAACAAGTATTATCTTTTACCTTTTAAATTGGTTTATTTTGTTGCATTGAATCGTACATTTAAAATTTACAATTGATTTAAAATATATTTTATATTAAATTCAGTAAAAACAACATAATTTTCAAAAATTGGGGGGCCTCATTGACGAACCGGACAGAAGTGATCCCACGGGCCACCAGTTGAATAGCCCTGATATATAATGTTTATAATGTGTGGCTGAAAACTGACAAAACCAATACGATTCACAAGTCATCCATCAGCTGCCTTCTTTTCTGAACATCAGCATCAGAATTAACCTCTGAAAATGCTAATGGCTCGACCTGCTCCGGCTTCAGGTTCTCTGATCCGTTCCTGTTTTTTTGTTTCTCCACCTCGTCCACAGCTGCTTCCAGAGCTGGCCAATCCAGAAGAGCTCCTCTCATACTTGGACCCTCCCGACCTCCCCGCCAACAGCAACGACGACCTGCTCTCCCTTTTTGAGAACAACTAGTCCTTCCTGATCCCTCCGCCCCACCC